TTTAATCCCAAGTCTTATGGGAGTTTCAATCTCCCAATCTAAATTTTCTGATTTTTTGATTTATATATATATATATAAAAAAACCTTAACATTTATTAATTTCTCCCAACCTCCAAGTCTTACCCTCATAATAACACTTTAATGCATTAAGAACAAGCATAAAAAAAAAATTATTTTGAATCCAACACATATGAATTCCTTGAAAAGTCCAACAGATATGATTATTATCCTTATAATAATACTTTAATGCATTAAAAAACAGGATATAAAAAAATTTCTTGAAAAGTCAAAACATAATGATTTTATCAAAATATTAAACTTTAATATAATATAATAAAGAAAGAAGACATTTAATTTCTTGAAAAATCAAACACATATGATTATTATCAAAAATATTAAACTTTAATATAATATAAAAAAGGGGAAAAAGACATTTAAAAAAAAGAAAAAAAAAAGATATTTAAAAATCGCAATTCACATATATAAATAATTGTAAATATATTAAGAAAAATGAGGTTTCTAAACCCCAAGCTTTGTGGGAGCTCCAATCTTTCAATCTTAATTTTCTAAATTTTTGATTTAAAAAAAACCTCAGCATTTATTGATTTGGTCAAAATTCTCTGATCAACATTTATTAAAATTTTCCAATCCACATGCCTGCATTTATTGATTTGGTCAAAATCTCTTATTAGCATTTAAAATCTCCTCATACAAATAATTATAGATACAGCCCGTGTATAGTTACTGCAGTAGTTTTTTTAATTTCTCCTGTACACTATGGTTAGTGATAAGATTGTTAAATTATTTTTATAAAAAAATCTTAAAAAACATAATTTATTTATTAAAAAAATTAAAACAAATATAAATATCTATAATTATCCCGTGCATAGCACGGGTGATAAGCTAGTATTATATAAGCAAAATGAGGTTTTTGTAAGGAGTACTGTGAAAGTTCCAAAAGCTCATAATAAATTTGTAGATTTATTGAATTAAAAAATAAATTTAAAAAGTAGTATTAGCTAGTCCATTAAAGTAATAGTTTTCAAAATATTATAATTCTATAATTTATAGTTTTCAAAAGTAAAGATAAAAAAATAGTTCATATCTTTCCAACCTAATCATCTCCCATTGATTTTTATTTCCTTTAAAAAAAAATAAAACTTGCTTCTTACTATACTACTATATTATTCATACCATATACAACTACTCTCAAATCTTTAAAATTCACGATAAAAAATAGGTACCTTCAAAATATTTTGATTTAATTACACACATTTAATTTCTTTTGTACACTTTTTTTTTTCTTTTTTGATTTGTTTTGTACACTCATATGTACTAATATTTATGCCTAAATTATAATTTTTTTAATACATGTAATGGATGTGAGAAGAACTTAAGTATATATGATTATAAGTACCCTTGCTATTGACCTCATTCATTGATTTTGTTTTCAAAAAAAGAAAAAGAAAAATCCTATATCTCATCAATTTAATTCTTTAGTTAATGGATTTTCACACTAGTAAAAGGAAGTTTTTTTAGTGTTTTTTATAATGGCAACTTCATTTCACAAATAATTAATTATTTTTCAAATATTAAAATATTTTACGTAAAAAGTTGTATTAAATAAAAATTTAATAAAATTTAAGTTGAAAATTATGATTTGTTTTGAGACTTCACTTCTTTGATCAAGTTCTATACTAAAAATAAAATCTATGAACTAGTTTAATCTGATCTTAAATAATAATTTCAGATGTAAATATAATTTAATATTAGATATATTTTAAGAATAAATATATAATTTCTTAATTGAAGTATTAGAATATTAGTAAATATGCCAAATATATATTCATATTTTTTTATTTTGGTTATAAAAAATTTTACAATATTTTTACTATTTTGAAAAATAAATAAGTGGGCATGTGATGGTTGGGCATAAACCAAAATGATTATCTAAAAATGGAATTGGCATATAGCATAAAAATTAACCAAATCCTATTTCTACATTACTTTTAGTATTTGATCCAGTATTAGCTCATACCCGTCATAATTTAACAAACTATTAAACATAAGCTTAAGTTGATTATTATTAACTGTTTTCACTAATTGACCGATAAATTTTTAAATCGAGCCCAATATAGGACTAGAACAAGCTCCATATTTTAGGTTGATCCAGTATTATATAATTTTTTTATACATAGATATACTTAATTATTCGTGTATGAATTTTTAATATAAATATATAATTTTTTTACAAAAATAAATAAATATGCCAAAAATACACACATTTTCTTATTTTGGTTATAAAAAATAATCATATATTTACCATTTTTTTTTTAAATAATTGTGTTAAGTGATCATGAATTGGGTATAAATGAAGATAATTCTCCAAGAATTTAATTGTTGGTATAAAAATTGATTTTAATCTAACTTCTAAACTACTTTTAATGTTTAATATAAGTACTATCCCTCAAATTAGTTCATACTATTCAAAACCTGAGAAATTATAATATAATTTAAACATAAAATTTAAATTAATTATTACTAACTATTTCTATTAATTGATCGATCAAAATTTTAAATCAGGTCTAAAGTATGATTAGAACAATGCCCATATTTTAGATTGACATTGAATAGTTTTTTCACACATATGATATACTTAACTATTCGTGTACATATTTCTTATTTTATTATAAAAAAAATACTAACATATATTTATTTGCCAGTTTAATAAATAAATGCGTTAAGTAGTTCATGCTTAGGCATAGATTAAGATAATTCTCTAAAGATTAGGTCATGGCCAAGTTGAGATAAATGTTGAGTTAATTAGATTATAGCACTTCTAGTGTCTAGCACAATTATAAATCCTCATGCCAACTCTTATTCTTTTGTATTCGTGAATTATGGCATAGGAGAAACTATAATTTTATGCCTAAGTAGACATATTTTTAAACTTTTACAAAATAGACAATGGGTAGGTAATAAATTTACAAGTATAATTTATTATATGATTGGACTATCTCTGACATAAAATAAACTAATATGCAAAATTTATAAAACAAAATGCATTTATATTCTAGTGTAAATATAATTTTTGTAATTTTATTGCACTTTTTAAAAAATACGCTCTACCATAATCTATTTATTTCTTATAAATAAATTTTATGTTGTTATTTAATTTCAAAATTAATTTTTAATTATTTATTTAAACTTGTGCATAGCACAAGTATTATGGTTATAAAATAATTTTAAGAAATTACATTCGTGCTATGGAGATCCGTTAAGTAAAAGTGAGTGAGGAAGAAAGAAAATAAAAGCGCCTAATGTGAGAATTATGAAAAAAATCTAAAAGTTGTAATTGGTAGGTAAATGCTAATTTCAAGAAATATAAGAGGATAAGGGTCACTGGTAGCGGGGATTTGGTCAAAATATTCTCATAATAAAACTTTAATGCATTAATGATACCTTAAAAAGTCCAACATACGCTACTATTATCAAAATATTAAACTTGAAAATAATATAACTTTTGAGGTAGTTATTGGTTTTTAATGAAATTAGTATTTTTAGTATTCTCTTATCAAGATCTATCAAATAAGATCTATATTGACTATGAAATTCTTAAACAAAAAAAAAAATTATTACCATCGAAATTAATATAAACAGTAACAATAACATATTACTCTGGTTATTCTGGCAATATTGTCCAAGAAAAAAAAAGATATTTAATTTGTTCTTACTCAATTTTATATTTCCGCCTTAGGGGGGTTTATGAAGCATAATAAATTGAGCTGTCTTTTTCACCAAATAAGGGTCCAATAGAGGAATTTTGGCTAAATTTTCCTTCCTTGTTTGTCATTTTCATTTTTTTTTTCAATTTTTTGATTTAAACAAATTTTGCTCAATTGAGTTTCACAAAAGTATTATTATTATTATTATTATTATTATTATTATTATTATTATTATTACAAACAAATTTTGCTAGATTGAGTTTCACAAAATATATATATATATATATATTATTACTATTATATGGCAAACTAAAAAAATGTAATTAGTAAAAAATAATAATAATAATTATTGAGTTTCACGTAGTTTACGATATCACCTAATATATGGCAAACTAAAATTATGAAACCCTTAGAAAATAATAATACATTTATATTTTATCATAGGTGCAGTTTTTGTTCCTAAAAATAAAAATTGAAAAATGTAATTTTATAACTTAACATAGGTTTTGTTTAATTTTTACTAATTATATTATGATTGGTGTTATTGTTATTTAGAACTTAAAATATAGCATTAAAAAAAATAAATAAGCAAAATTATAATAAAAATAATTAAAATTTAATTAATTTTATTTGTTTACTATTTAATTTTAATTTTAAAATTATTTATTTATCTAAAACTGTGCACAACACAAATATCACGCTAATAAATAAATTATTTAAATTACTGATATAAGTCCCAAATGAGTCCACCCAACCCAACAAACCTCTGTTGCTGGATGCTCAAAAAAAAGAATTCATTTCCCAAATTAAAAATTAAAAAACGTTTGAATCCCAAGAAATACTAGGTCAAGTGGTCCTATGGCACTTGACCAAATCAAGAAGTGGTGGTGCTTTGAAACATTACATACAATAGATTTACAAGTAAATACACAAAACTAAAGTGGTTAAAAATAAATTGGGATAACATCAGGCCTGTATTTGTAATATGAAAAATATATTTTTAGTAGATAGATACATGGCATTGTTATACATGAATTCGATACATATGTCATCTCTGCCCTCTCTCTCTCTCTCTCTCTCTCAAAACCCATGTTCCCCTCTCTCATACCTCACTTTTCACTTCCTATAACTTCACTCACTCACTCACACACTCTCTCTCTCTGATCCTCTCTCTCTCTCTCTCTCTCTCTAAAATCAGGAATGATCGCAGGAACCCAGCAAGAAACGAAGCTCCGTCTCTGATCAGACGTCACAGAATAAATCAATCATGGGTCCATGAGCAGCAGTGGAAGCAACTCATCATCATCATCCGCCGGCGAAGCACCGGATCAGATTGACGGACTGCTTGCCGGAGCCGGGTACACGGTACGGTCATCGGAGCTCCGACACGTGGCCCAGCGGCTCGAACGCCTCGAGAATGTCATGGTCAACGCGCCAGCAGAGGTCTCACAGCTCGCAAACGACGCCGTTCACTATAACCCATCGGACCTCGGGTCCTGGGTCGATTCGCTTCTCTCGGAGTTCAACCAACCCGTGCTCGTACCCGCCTCCGCCGATCTACCCGAGTACTCTGATCTCAGTTACCTCGACGGCTTGGTGGGACCCGCATTAGATCCGACGGTTAATAACACCGGGTCATGGGCGGAACACCGTGGGGCTGAGCAGCAGCAAGAAATTCCTCGGCAGTTATCGGTGGTGGAGGAAGATTCCGGCATTCAATTGGTCCACGCGTTGATGACGTGTGCTGAGTCAGTCCAACGTGGCGAATTCTCATTGGCTACGACCTTGATTGACGAGATGCACAATTTGCTGACACGTATAAACACAGATTGTGGCATTGGGAAAGTCGCCGGCTACTTTATTGATGCACTGAGCCGCCGGCTCTTCGCGCCGCAAGGGGTCGGCTCAGTCGGGTCGGCTTATGAAAATGAGATTTTGTACCATCACTTCTATGAAGCTTGTCCTTACTTGAAATTCGCTCACTTCACCGCTAATCAAGCGATATTAGAAGCATTTGAGGGCCATGACTGTGTCCACGTCGTTGATTTCAATTTGATGCACGGCTTACAATGGCCGGCTCTCATACAAGCCTTGGCTCTACGACCTGGTGGGCCGCCGTTGCTCCGTTTAACGGGCATTGGCCCACCTTCGCCCGATAGGCATGACTCGCTCCGTGAAACCGGGCTTCGATTAGCCGAATTGGCCCGTTCCGTAAACGTCCGATTCGCTTTTCGTGGGGTTGCAGCTGCACGGCTCGAAGATGTCAAGCCTTGGATGTTACAAGTCGACCCAAAAGAAGCCGTAGCGATAAACTCCGTCATGCAGCTCCATAGACTACTTGTACCGGACCCAACTCGTGGATCGCCAATTGATATTGTTCTCGGGTGGATTCGAAGGTTGAACCCAAAAATCATGACGGTGATTGAGCAGGAAGCAAACCACAATCAACCCGAGTTTTTGGGTCGGTTCACTGAAGCCCTATATTACTATTCAACTATGTTCGACTCTTTAGAAGTTTGTACAGCTCAACCCGAAAAGGCCTTAACCGAGATGTATATTCAAAAAGAGATATGCAATGTGGTGTGTTGTGAAGGCTCGGCTCAAGTCGAGAGGCACGAGCCGCTGGCCAAGTGGAGGGCTCGGTTAGTTGGGGCCGGGTTTAGACCGCTCCATTTGGGATCCAATGCATTCAGGCAAGCTAGTATGTTGTTAACGTTGTTCTCGGCTGGTGGGTATTGCGTGGAAGAGAAAGAAGGGTGCTTGACGCTCGGCTGGCATAGCCGCCCTCTCATTGCGGCTTCAGCTTGGCAAGCCATTCCTCAGACAAACCCACCACCACCACTTGGTTTTTAATAAAGTGTGTTTGTACGACTTGTAATTTGTACCAAGTTTAATTTCACTCGATGAGCAAGGACTCTTTTTTGTTTAGATAAATGCTTCTGGTCCTCTCTTTCTTTTCATCATCCATTCATGCAAACTTATGTTTGGAATTTTATGTCGACATATATCATAGATAGGGTACATGGCCTAAAAAGGATGATGAAAAGATTAAGGGGTTGTTTAGGATATTTTAAATAAGTGAATTTTTTGATTTTTTATAAAATATAGGTGGAGTTTGAAGTGACGTGGTAAAGAGGTGATGTGATTTAAATAAGATGATATGACTTAAATAAGATAGCGATTTTTTAACTTTTTAACTTTTTGAAGGTATGTCAAACTTAGCCTAAATCTAGTCATCAGAGAACATGGAAGGTAATGCACTTCTAGTGCTTAGTGATTTTCAAAACAGTGCAGTCACCGATGAGTCACTAATACTGTGTTTGGTTGAAAAATTTGAGCAGAGATTTGAAAAGGGAAATGAAAAAGATAGGTAAAATGTGAATAAAACATGTCTATATTTCATTTAGTTGCACATACCTTTTTCCTCTCCCTTCCCAAATCCCTTCCGAAATTGAAGAAAGAGTATACTACCTCCAACCCAATGAAACATCAAAGATTAAGATTATATTTGAATCTTAAATTTATCAAGACAGAAGAAAAATAAAATTATTTATACATATTCATTTTTTTTTAATTTATAATTAACTGAAAAAAAAAGAAGAAGAAGTTATTCAACTTCAATTTCTTAACCCACCCCAAAAACAAAAGTTAGGTTATACTTTATTTTCTTTCTTTTTTTAAAAAAATATTTTATCCATACAAAACATCCACAAATTGGAAAAGCAAACAAACTTAAAATACCATGAAAACTAAAACTAAAAGAACAAAAAATTTCGTGGCATTCTAACATGTGGCAATGGAGGTACTAATGGCTAATGAGCCTTTTTTGGGAAAACTTCAACTGGTCTATTCTCTCATCCAATACAAAATTTTATGAACAGATTTTGGATACGCATGATCACTCACAAATCACGCATTTCAGTTAGACAAGTGTTTTGGCCCTATAAAATTGATGTGATACATTTAAATGATGTTGCAAAAGTCTATAGACTATAGTTTACATTTGAATATGGTATTGTTTGGGTGGTGTGATTCATGCATGCCTTGAGTCTATTCATACTTAAAAATGCCTCATCTCACCAAACATGAATAATGCATAATGTGCGGGGGTGATTTCCGCACTATGAAGAAGGGTTGAACTTCGTGGATGAACAGCAGGCTTTGGGAATTGAAGATCTGCACAGAATAACAAACGGTGAGGCTGCCCGACCGGGGTTTGGTCGGAAACCCCTCCGATGGTAAAGTTAGGGACTCAGGGAGAGGAAAAAGAGAGGAGAGAATACAAAGAGTGTATGTGTTAAGTGTGTGGATTTCGGATCCCTTGAGAGTGAATAGTGTTCACCTTTTATAGGAGAAGGTTGTTTGTCGTTCTAGTCCTTCTCTCTCCGCCATCTGTCCAACGTGTCTTATTCGTGGTCGTCTCCTATTGGAGGAGGACGACCACTCCGCCTGACACTCGGGTGCAGGTCTGTTTTGTTTGTCTCATTAGCGGACATCTCTCATTGGAAGAGGACGACCACTCTGCCTGCCATTCAGACGCAGGTCTGTCATATATGCTCCTTGTCCCTCTGCACCTCCATGTCTCCATGTTATGTTCATACAGAGGGAGAGGAGCAGAGTTGTTTGTCTCTAGTGGACCCAAGAAAGATCTTCAGTGAATTGGCCTTCTCTAAGTTGGTCTGCTCTACAACGGTTGTCCAACCAGCAGGTCCAACATGTTGCTCAACCCACTTCGGAGTGGTTCTGTCCATCCAGAAGGTCCACCATGTTGCTCGGCCCACTTTGGAGTGACGCTCGTACATTGGGCCGAACTCCTATGATTGCCTTACTTCGGAGCAAGTGTTGGCCATAGGGCCGAGGTCCGACCTAGCTCCACCTTGGAGTGAGTATTGCATTGGGCCTAGCACCAAGACTTGATTAATTTTCGCCCACTTCACATAAAGATACTTGATTAACCACCCAACCACATCATCAACTAGGTATGTTTTAATGCACTAAAAAGATTGATCTTTGCCAAATTTGATTTGCAAGACTTTTTTTTTTACTGATTTTGATTAAAAAGCACTTATTTGAAGTAATTGGGGCTGTGAGGCACATTTATGAATTGAAATTGATGGGGGGAGAAATATTTTAGCTTTCCTTTGGGAAGATTTTTTTTAGTTTGACTTTTAACTATTTTAGTCTGGTTAAAAAAGTTTTGTTTGAAATAAATTTTTAAATTTTTTGTAATTTTGTAAAAGAAAAAATAAAATGATTATAATTTTGATATAATATTTTATTTTATTATTATTTTAACTTATTTTATTTTTTGATAAATTAAATTAATTCCAACTATCTTTCCAAACGAAACCTAAGCCTAGTACAGGATGTGGATGTGGTTCTATCTCTATTAATTTAATATAGAACTCAACAATATCGTCACCTTGGATAGGGTTGCCCTAGATCCATAGGTTCCGTGGGATTTTTTTTGTGGCACGACTCTAAACCCTATAAATGTATGTAGAGTAATATTACAAATTTTAAAATTTTATTTAGAAATCTATCTAAAAATGTTAATGTGTGGTTTATATTTAATTTATAAATGAATCTCCCCTAGAATAAATTAAAAATTTTAGAGACAAAAAGTAAAACCTTTTAGCACTAAATTGTTGTCCCTAATTTATTAAAAATATTTTCAAAATCTTGTTGCAATTATTTATTTATTTATTTATTTTTTTGACTTTTCGAAACTATCTTTTAATAATAATTAAAATTGATCTCTTAATATTTTTTATTACAAACTTTTCCCTATTAGAGAGAAAAAAAATTGATGCCTGAAACTTTTATACATTTTATTGTTCACAGTTCACTATTTAAATTCTAACCCTTCCTTCACATTCTATGTCATTCTCCTGTCCCAATTTTGGAATACTTAAGCCTATTTTGAAAAATTGAAATTTTAGTAAAAAAGTAAAAAAGACGCAACGAAAAAGTAAAATTTTTTTCTCTATTTTTTTACATATTTTTGTTTTATAAAAAACTAAAAAATCATTAAAAAACCAAATCTCAAAACAACTCTTAAACTTTGTTATATTGTAAATAAAAACAAACAATTATGCAGCGGATAAAATAATCATATCATACCTTTTGATGATAGAACCTCGTGGATAAATCACGTGCTTTCAGAATCAGATCAATCAATCCCAGCAGTGGGGTGATATTACAATGGTGAATATCACCCACACAAACCACAGTGCAATCGTTGTTTCTTGGGAACTAAAAAATCATTAAAAAACCAAATCTCAAAACAACTCTTAAACTTTGTTATATATATATATATATATATATATGTATGAGTGTGTGTTTTTTTTTTTATTTTTTGTTTTTTATTTTTTTTCATTTTTCAACTATCTTTCAATCAATGGTTGTTGTATGAGTGATTTTTCGACCACACTGTCAACTCAGTATTCAGCTGGAAAGCACTGGCAAAATAGATGACACCTGTCTGACCTGCAACAGAAAGAGAAGATTCCGGCGGTGGTTCGTCCACCTGGGGGCACTCCGACGATCAAGTCAGTATATCTCTAAAAAATAATCAATAGTACTAAACTCACTGAACAAAGCATAAAAGACATACCTTTGACCCATGAGGGTGCCTCTCTTTTATAGCCGACATAATCCTAGTCCCAATAGAAGCCTAGCTTCAATGGACTTAGGATTACTGCTAATCTTGGACTCATAGTAGGATTAGGATAAACTCTCTAAGAGTCTTATTTTTACCCAAACTAAAGTCTTCTCTCATCCTAGGACTCTTGTCCCTTATCCGCTTATCCTGGATTCTGGTATTCTCGTAAATAACCTCAGCATCATGACCAGGACACGTGACACCTCGACTGACACTTCGGTGTCACCTCGGCCACGTGTTGTCATTCAAAAATTATGTCCCCACAACCGCCCCGCTAGGTTCTATTACCTCGGCATCCTGAGGTGATGGAACCTATATCATTTATTCTATTTAGCATGTCGGCTAAGCTCGCTTCATTATTTATTGCCAAAGTCAGAACTCGTCGGCTCAATATGACCAAGACCTATTGTCATGACCCGAACCCGCCCCTATGGGTTAAGGACATAACCGGCCAGCAATTTTGAGATTACCTACGGCCTCAAACCAAAACAGACATGACTTGTCAGAGTAAAGGGGCCAAACGGAAGCAATAAATAAAAACTTTGTCCATAGAGCCGTGCTTATATGCACATTACCAGACCATATTCAGTTACGTTAATAACCCACATCAAAAGTACAGTTCCACAAAATTCATTACAGACAGGATCATCCAAAACGAGTCAACCTATGACAGACTATTTACAGATATACATAAAGTCCTTGCCGGCAAGACAAAATATAATTACATAGCAAAAAGGCAAGGGTAGGTCTCAAGAGTGAGACGCAAGGCTGACTTCCGCAAAACTCGGATTTTTCCTAGCAGACTTCACTGGGGCTGGGTTTGGACTTCCCTTGGCTCACCTACAAACACATGAATGAGCGTGAGCGATAGCCCAGTGAATAATATCAAATGCAGAAATTACATAACAATGTAGAACAACATGTTCCAAACGGCCTTTGGCCCAATTCACATTTCTACTTAACATGTATATTATATATATACTTATACAAAATTTAGATCAAGTGACTGTAGTTCCAACGTGCTGGCCTTTGGCCCATTCAGGTTTCTGTTCTTGTCAAAACGGCCTCCGGCCCATTCATTTATGTCAAACGGCCTTCGGCCCATCCATTTATGTCAAAACGGCTTTTAGCCCATTCATTTACGTCAAAACGGCCTTCGGCCCCCTCATTCATGACAGAACGACCTTCGGTCCATTCATATTCATCTAAACGACCTTTGGTCCATTCATTCACATCAAAACGACCTTCGGTCCATTCATATTCATCTAAACGACATTCGGTCCGTTCATTGACATCAAAACGACCTTTGGTCAATCCATTCATTCCTGTCAGACTTTTGTCCACAATCCCAATTAACAACTCATAAAGTTTAAGGGAATAAACAATTGGACATTGACAAGCTTCCAAATATTGATATTACTCACAGTGATCGGCTTATGGATTTGCCCTGGAGCTTGACC